CAAAGGCTGTATTATAACAAGAGGAAAGAAGACGAGCAATTTATGTTGAAGAAGCGCGAAGCAAGTTTAAGACACAACCAGAAGAAGAAGCTTAAGGAATACATAGCAGAGAATAGTTTAAGTGAAGAAGATTTGACGCCCACACAAATTAACGAAATCATTACGGATAAGAAGCCTAGCGGGAAGAAGCGTGGAGCACCCAAATACGATATGAACGAATACAAAGTGATTATACCTAATGCCGTTTAAAATGATGATTTAATTAATTATATTAAATCATTATTTTTGTTACTTATTTATATGAGCGAGAAACAGAAAATTATTAATGATGTATGTTTTGATAGAGCCGGTTATGGTTCAAAACAAAGGACATTAAGCGAAGCACGGGAGAAGGACAAAACCATAACAATGGCAGATATAAACGAGTTTTTTAGAAAGAATGTTGAACAAAAAAGAAAGCCGGTAGGTCAAAACAGTTTTATCGCCCCTCATTCCGCCTACGAATATCAGATGGATTTGTTTTTCATAAACGATTTGGATGAACAAAAGTTTAGGGTAGGTGTTTTAATGATTGATGTTTTTGATAAATTCATGTATGTAGTGCCGATAAAAAGCAAACAAGAAGGAGATGTAGCGAGTGGGATGATTGAATGTTTAAATAAGATGGGTAAGAAACCCGAAATAATTTATACGGACGACGAAGGCGCATTGAACAAGGAGGCAATACAAAAGTATTTGAAGGACGAGAACATAGAGCATCACCGAACGAGGGCGCACCCAAATTTTAGCGAAAGAGCCATCCGAACATTTAAAGATATGTTGTATAAGCGGGTTGAAGCGGATGAGAAAAAAGGAAAACAAAACATCCAATGGCCAGACTACATATTAGAAATATTATTGACCTATAATAATCAAATGAAGCACTCGGCCACGGGATTTACACCAAAAGAAGCGCGAAAGCCCAGTAATCAATTCAAAGTGAAACTAAATTTAACGATGAAGGGCAACAAGAACCGCGTTTATCCTGAACTAAATGTAGGAGATGAAGTTAAGATATTTAGGAAGAGAAAACCAAATGAAAAAGAGAGGGTGAGCAACTGGTCACAGAATATTTACACCATGGAAAATATTGAAAATAAGCTAGGGCAAAATTATTATAGGGTTGAAGGTAATAATAGGCAGTATCTGAGATTTGAACTGCTGAAGGTTTGAGGGTACGCACACTCTACTTCCTGTTCGAGCACCGGTTGGGCACACGACTCTTCCCATTCGGGTTGTCTCCAAAACAGACAAGCTGACCATCTGCCGCCTCTGCGCCGCTCAAGTATGACGACGAACCACTACACTAAACTGGTCCCAAATCTGCTGGGACGTCACACTGCCCTGCATCATTGTGCCCAAAGCAGACGAGCTGACCATCTGACCGCACTGCGCAAGTATGCCAATCGCCCGCTGCGACTGCCAAAACTGGTCCCAAATCTGCTGGGACGTCACACTGCCCTGCATCATTGTGCCCAAAGCAGACGAGCTGACCATCTGAGCGCACTGCACAAGTATGCCATTTGCCCGCTGAGACTGCCAAAACTGGTCCCAAATCTGCCGGGACGTCACACCGCCCATGAAGGTTGTTTCCAAAGCAGACGAGCTGACCATTTGGCCGTATTGCACAAGTATGAGAATTGCCTGCTGAGACCGCCAAAGCTGGTCCTAAATCTGCTGGGACGTCACACTGCCCTGCACCATTGTGCCCAAAGCAGACGAGCTGACCATCTGACCGTATTGCACAAGTATGCCAAACGCCCGCTGCGACTACCAAAACTGGTCCCAAATCTGCTGGGACGTCACACTGCCCTTCATCATTGTGCCCAAAGCAGACGAGCTGACCATCTGACCGTATTGCACAAGTATGCGAATCGCGCGCTGCGACTGCCAAAACTGGTCCCAAATCTGCTGGGACGTCACACTGCCCTTTACCATTGAGCCCAAAGCAGACGAGCTGACCATCTGACCGCACTGCACAAGTATGCCATTTGCCCGCTGAGACTGCCAAAACTGGTCCCAAATCTGCCGGGACGTCACACTTCCCATCAATGATAACAATGACGCGTCCTTCGCTGTTGCGTCCAAAGCAGACGAGCTGACCATCTGCCCGAATTGCACAAGTGTGATCCACGCCCGCTGAGACTGCTGAAACTGTCTCGAAATGCGCTTGCAAACCACGCTGCACATGTCCGCTGAAGCTGAGTACGGTCTTCCTCACTACACAACTGTTGGAAACTCGAACATCTCCGGAACGTGGTGAGCATGCGCAAGTCCGAGTCCGTCTGTTTGTTTTGCTTGGCCCCGCGGCGAAACGTGACTGACCCTGTGTGCGAACGCACCAGGAGCCAGGAGCGACCGCAAGAAAAGGCTGGAATAATGCCTTTTGTGCAAGAAAGGAGGAGGCAAATGCCAAGCCAGCTTTCATGGGCCGCTTAGACATGGATGCAGGAAGAAATGCTCCAGTGAGGGCTCATTTGAAGCTGAAAATGGAATTTAGACAAGTAGCTCAGGCTATGCTACAGGAATCATACTAGTGGGTTCGACCTTAACGCAGAACCTTATTCCTATTATTGTAAAATTGTTTAAGAAGACCATTTCCATTTTCTAAGGTTAGGGATTTCGGGTTGGGAATATGGGTTTTTCTATGGGGGTGTTGGTGTATGGGGTTTAGAGTGGGTTTTTTCTATGTGGTGGTGTATGGGTCTTCTAATGGTTCCATGTTGTGGGCATTGGGTTGAGGTTGTTATGGTTTTGGGTCTTTGGGTGAGTTATTCCTAGGGTACCCCCTATGGGTCTTGAGTTGGATTAGTGTTGAGGTATAGGTTGTTGTGATTTGGGGGCTAGGGGGTGGGGGCATGGTTAGAAAATGGAAATGGTATCTGCTAACTTATTAGGGGACTTATAGCCCTACTTATAACTTCCCACGAACCTCCAAGTTCTGATGTATGATGGCATTAAAGGGATGAGGCTTAGGGATTTGGGGTTTTCCGAACATAGGGGACCCTAATATAGTACCCCAAAGAGTAGGATCCTTATTAAAAGGACCCTAAAATAAAGTACCCCTATTTTCGGAAACTTCCATCTGGGGTTGAGGGTGTAGGCATTAGGGTTTAGGGTTCAGGATTTTGCTGCGCTTGAAACGGGATTAGCCAGTAAGCTCTGGAAGTCTGCGACTGTTTCGAGCTCGGTAAATCCACGGGTTCGCTACATGCAAAAAGACCAGACAAACTAAAGCATACACCTAAGCCCCCCCGCCCCCCCCCCCCCCCCCCCCCGCCGCCAAACTCCCGAACTGCGAAGCCCACCTCCCCCCCCCCCCCCCCCCCACCAACCCCAAGCATACTCTCGGCCCACATAAAGTCATAAAGTCGCCTTAGCCGTAAAGCCTAAATCCAACTCAAACCCACAACTCCCAACCTCAAAGAAGCCGACAAAAAGATGCCAGCTGCTTGGTTCGCAGTATTCGACGCTCTACTATGCCAAGGCGGCGTGGCTTGACTCTGCACCCAAATAAACCGCCATGTGTGGAGCAATGTAAAAATGAATGGCTCCGTGACAAGTTTCTGGCTTGTCTGTCAGTGATTGCGTTTTACCCGCGTGTGGTCCCTTAGGCCAAACTAGGGGTATCTAAGGGCGCCTGTTGCCTATAGACGTGCATGGTGACCCGAAGTCAATCCGCAGAACTCAACACTGAAACCGTTAACCGTAATAGCTTCAAGGACCTCTAGTGCATGGACTTTATGTTCCGTACTGCAGCCCAGCTGCTGTATGGCATGGCTATGTACAAGCCGCTTCCATGGGCAGGTATGCTCTACTTCATGCAGTCATAGCAGGATATCTATACTCACTTGTGATGCACCAACATGGCTTCATGTCGTCGTCGAGGTCCTGGCTGTCGACGAAGAAAACAAACCATTTCTCCAAGCACAGTAGCAGCAGACTCTGTGCGGACAACTCTTCGTTGCTTTAAGATCGGAGCTTCCGGCGGTTTTATCCCCTAGCACCTGGACGACCTATGCTCTCCCTCAGGTCAGCATATGCTGGCAAGAGATGCGCGGGCGCGGGCAGGAGGTGTGTATGGAGGGGCGAGTGAAGAAGACCAAAGTCGGGGCCCGTTTGGGGGATGCTTTTGGCATCTTTTGGCAAAGATGACAGGAGGCGGTAGTAGAACGACCTCCTTGCTGCTTCAATGTGAATCCCTCGTGACTTCTGATGTGCTATATATATATATATATATATATAGAAAATATGTACAGATACAAAGACTTATGTAGATGTGGATATGCATATGTCTGTACAGATATATCATATCAGATCATATCATATCATATATATATACATATACACATACATAGACACATACACATGCGCATGCATGTGCATATACTTATACATATACAGACAACTTGCACCAACAAAGCTACAATTGCGTGCAAAACGCATATCATGCGTGGTCGCAAACAAGCAACACCCGGCCCTGCTGGAATTCGATTTGGGATCCTTGCTGAGCAAAAGGACAAGACCTTGCCACACAAACTGTAAACCCCCCACAGGAATCTAGTTGCTCAATCGTTACGCAAACCAACAGTCACGGTTAAGGGTTTAGGGGTTCAGGGTTTAGGCGGGTTAGGGGTTTAGGGCTTTAAACCCTCCAGTCATGTGGTTTGGGGCTTGAAACTTGGTACCGAGAGTGTAGACATGGACAACAGTGCAGTACTGGGAACAATCCCAGTCAAAGCCATACAAAACTTCAGACATTCGGCTGTTGCAGCCTTGCAGTTCATGCATTCCACTCGATCCTTCGACACATGACTGCTGAGTAGAAATCTGAAAACTGGCCCTCGATCCCGAAACCCCAACATCCCTATGCACTAATGTCCCGAAACCCACCCCTTTCCCTGCACCCAAACTGTAACTACCCTACGCCCTTTTGAAATTTGGCTCTGCGAGGTCAGCACCATGCCAATCTTGGCGATGGCTTCGTAATGCTGGTCGATGATGCCCTCTGCCTCACGAGCAGGGCGATCCAGGTGCCCTAGCCCCGAAAAGGTTAGCCTTTTCAATTATGGTAAGAGTATATAAACGCCAAAAGGTTAAAGGCCACCTACTCAGCCCTCAGGATATCCAGCAGGTCGCCGTCCATGGTTGAATCGTGAGAAGTTGAGGGATTTGGAAAATGAGCCCAGGTTTAGACGCAGACCCTCTATTTAGCCAAGAAAACCCTGCAATCCGGCTGTTCGAGACTGTACATACTACGGAAGGGCTCAGCATGGTTCCTGGCAGGGCTTGAGCTTTGTGTTCTGTGCACAGGGGGCCCTCAGTAAACCGTAGTACTTGCGGAGACAACCATAGCCTCTGCGGAGAACATTTCATCGCCACAACACCAGAAACCAAAGCATGAACGCCTACACAAATAAGCCCAGACCATGCACTCCGTCTTGTTCCGGAAATCCTAGACTGGACCCCCAAACCCGGTAGACCCCAAACCCTAAACCTCAAATCTTAAACACTAGATACATCCCTAGACACTAAACCCCAAACCCCTACACCCTTAAGTCTTAACCCTAAACCCTAACATGCCTTTACGGAAGCTCCCGATTCGAGTTTGCCGACCTCGGTGGAATTGGAATGCACCTGCTTCGTACTACCGTTAGTCGAATGACGAGCCCACCAAAAGCTTTGGCCTAGATTGGAGGATAGTCTCGTATGGTATGGTATGTGTATATTATAGTACGTGATAGTATATAGTATAAGTATAGTTTGGTATAGTAGAGTAGATTATGTGCAGTAAGAACCCTACACCCTGACTGAAGGACATCAAAACGGCAGGAAACTTCGATTCGACTATTACATCGTAGTACTACGGCCCTGAGGCGACTCAGCCTTAGACCCCACTTTTCTAGCCGATTTCGGCTCAAGTCACGAGCCCTTGCAGCCGGGATTTGAGAGGTTTGGAGATGTTCAAAGACTAGGATAGGGTGTTCAGGGTTTGGGGTTGAAAGCATTCCCAAGGCCTGACGAATGTACAGCACCACCACACCCACAAACCCTACAGACCTAAACACTTGTCGTACATCCCTAGCCACCCTCAAAAGTCTCAAACCGAAGACGTTGCCACGCTCTTCCCTAAACCCTAAATCCTAAACCCTAACCTTAAACCCTGAATCCTAAACCCTAACCTTAAACCCTAAATCCTAACCCCTAACCGTAAACCCTAAATCCTAAACCCTGACCTTAAACCCTAAATCCAAACCCCTATCCGTAAACCCTAAATCCTAAACCCTAACCTTAAACCCTAAATCCTAAACCCTAACTATAACCCCTAACTCCTAAACCCTAACCGTAAACCCTAAATCCTAAACCCTAACCTTAACCCCTAACTCCTAAACCCTAACCTTAAACCGTAGATCCATGTGCGATGCCTCAATCTCCTCAGCAGCTACGGATCCAGAGCGCAGGACCTCTCCGAGGCGACAGGCAAGGTCGAACCTTTTTTGGATTTAGGGCTTAGGGGTTTAGGATTTTAGGGGTTTAGGATTTAGAGGTTCGGGTTTAGGGTTTAGGGGTTTAGGAGCTTAGGGGTTTTGGGTTTAGGGTTTAGGATGCCCAGTAACCTAGGAACAAAAAGGGCTCCCTTTTTGGTATTGGGTAACTTTGATAAGGAACCTAGGACTACAAAAAGGGAATAAGGATAGTACTGGGCATCCTAGCTTTGGGTTGAGGGGGATACCCAGAGGCCAAATTGTTCCTTTTCGGGACTACCTTATAGAATTCTAACTATGGACCCCCAAAAGGAACTACTATGGGACCTTAGCGTAGGGTTTCCATGACAATGAGATCCTGTTATTTACTAAAGATCCCTGAATCCGGGTTATATCTTTGATTTCGAAAGCAAACCCGAAAACCAAACCCTCAACCCTAAACGCTAAACCCCAAATGACGTAAAACCATGGCTTCAAAAGGCCCGATCCCAAAAGCTTACCAAACCTTAAAAATCTGCAAAAAGCTAGCAAAACTAAACCTCTGAACACATCAAAGCTCTCTTCAAGCCCCATGCCCGAAAGCCCACCTCGACGCCCCGCCCCTCCAGGAAGCGTGGCAGCATCTCCAACACCTCTCCAGGAGCTTTTGTGGCATCCCAGGGTTCCGGACCTACGGGTTCAAGCGTTTAGGGTTTAGACGCGTTTCAATATCAAGATGCAACACAGAGGCGTGAGCCTGACAAATTAGAGGAGGGGGTGGTGGGGTTTGGCTTCTTTGAGAGCGTGGCGGTTAAGAGTTCCCCCGGTACCCTCTAAACACTAAGGGTACCCTATTTGCTGCTATGTATTACGTTTAATACGGTAACCCTAAGATGAATAGGGCAAAAGGGTGGCCTAGGGGGTCAGAGCGTGAAACTAAAGGTTATTCGTTCAAGGGTCTCAGATTCCAAGCTTTGAGCATTTGAGCTCCCTTTTTTTGGAACAGGAGGGAATGCAAAGTAGCTTTGAGTAGCAATCATATCCCCTTGATGCTCCCAAAGCCTGTTCGGATCATGGCCCCTGTTTTCCTTAAACCCAAAACCGCTTAGAGCGTGCTAGGGCTTCCTAAGCCTTTTGGATTCAGGGCTTCGGGCCCTAAAGCTCGCAACGCTTCATCAGAACCCTAGAGGAATCCCTTCTTTGGAAGCTCTTGAGCCCTACCGCCCGAACAATCCCGAAACATGTAGGTTGTAAGGTTTAGGGTTTAGGGTGTAGGGTTTACGGTTGGGGCTTAGGGTGTTGTGGATGCCAGGGGAAGAACCTGCAAAACCCACAACATCCCCCCTGCCTGAGGGGTGCAGGCATGAGGCTTGACGAAGACCAGCGCAACGTTGTCCGGGGCCTCTGGGTCGCTAAGGTTTAGGGTTTAGGGTTTAGGGTTTAGGGTTTAGGGTCGCTAAGGGGGTGAAGAAAGCATGCTTGGGGGTTTGCAGTTTTAGGTTTCAGTCTGAAGGGTGTAATATAGGGGCCTTCATATTAGAATAGGGTTTGGGGCCCTGTTGTACTACAAGCATAACAAGGAACCCCCAGACCCTATTCTGAGTACTAAGCCCTATATTATCGGGTTTGCACTTGAGGTCGTAAGGCTTTAACTAGGGGGTTCCTTGCATGCACTGCTTGGGGTGGGGCATCTTGGGGCCATTAAAGTGCCAAGGCCAATGCTTCCTACAAAGCCGCAATCAAAAAACAACAAACCTAAACCTTAGAAGCTGCCCCCACCCTGTAATAGTGACCATAGGGATTATACTAGGACCCTATTATATTGTTATTATTAATATAATACCACGATTACAGGGTGGGGGCCCCGTCTAACCTAAACCTCTCAACCCTAAATACCAGCCTTCCTCGAATCAAGACTAACTCTTTCTTTTCTCCGCCGCTGCATGTCCTACACTTCCTACACCCAAAGACTTAAACCTTGCAGCCCCAAAACCCCACCCTAAACCCTAAAAACCGCCAAACCCCCATTCAAGAAAAAGCCCGACTTGCCCCACCTCCAAGACCTCAATGTACAGAACCCCCAAACCCCGAATTCCCTCAATCCCTAGACCTTTAAACTTTATCCTCCGGAACTGGTATTGTGGGTTTTGGGTTTAGGGTTTCCAATATCTCAAGACCCTAAACGGTACCCTCCGAATTTAGGGTTTTGGGTCTAGGGTTTCTTCAAAGTTACAGAAAAGTCCACCGGGCTCTGGCCAGGGTTCTCAAGCCAAGGGAGAAGCCCACCAAACCCCAAACCCGGAACCCCAAACCCTAAACCCTCAGCGCTTTACCCAAGACCCCAAACTCTATAAGCCCTGAACCCTTCCAGCCCTAAGCCCTAAAATCCTAAACCCTAAACTATACAAATCCCAAACCCTAAACACGAAACCCTATAAAGGGAACTCCAGAAAGTTGGAATACGGATTAATGGTAGGATCCCCTATAATTTACCTTAAAGGGGTTACGATAATGATATTCCAACTTTCTGGCTTCTACTGTAAAGCCAAACCCAGGGTCTCAAATCCTGAGCCCTAACCCTCAGCCCTATGAATCCCAAAGCTACCCTGGGGCTCCTTAGTAGTTCCTTTTTGGGATTACCTTATAGGATTCTATATATGAACCCCAAAAAGGAACTACTAAGGAGCCCTAGGGTAGAGCCTCAAGCCCCGAACCCGACACCGCGCTCAGAGGCCCTGGCAGAAGAGGTAGCTCGGAGGGTGCATGAAGCCCTTGCGCCCAGGTTATATGTATACAACTACCGGTAACTACCGTTATATATATATATATATATATATATATATATGTATATATATATATATGTGTGTGTCTGTGTGTGTATCTATAATGGGGCTTATAGGGCATACACAGGACATAGGGCTTTCAACATAGGCCTGTGCAAGGTTGTGCAACCGAGCTTGTTTTAATGTCTTCGTAGAGCCAAGTACCTCTCCTTTAAAGGATACAAAACTTGAGTCATACTTCGTCCTGCACTGCAAAGTCTTGGTTTTAGGGCTTCGGGCTTTTTTAGTCGTGTTTTTTAGGGCTTCGGGCTTTGAAGTTTGGGGCTTTGGCGGGCATTTGTGGGTGTTAGGGTCTGGTAGGATCTGGGGATCTAGCTGTACTTGGAGGCTCAAGGGTAGTTATAAGTGGGGTTATAAGTCCCCTAATATGGTTACAATTATAGTCACTCTACTTATAACTGCCCATGAACCTCCAAGTAGGATCCAATGATGTGGGGTCCAGCCGCTACTTGCGGGCATGGGATTTAGGGTTTCGGGCCACATACAGGTTTACGGAACCTTGTAGAACCCATGAGGACCCTTATGGTAGTATTGTACCCTCTCAAATGCACAGCGAGACTTGCTGCCGCAAGTCGGTGGAGTCACTGGAAACCCTACCCTAGGGCTCCTTAGTAGTTCCTTTTGGGGGTTCATATATAGAATCCTATAAGGTAATCCCAAAAAGGAACTACTAAGGAGCCCCACGGAAAACCCGAGATCTCCTGAGTAACAAGGGACCAGTCAACCGCCTGCTGGAGCGGCTGTGGCGCTGCCGGAGACCTGTCTGTCAGGGTTTATGGTTTAGGGTTTAGGGTTCAGGATTTTAGGGTTTTAGGGTTTAGGAGGGTGGAATAAGGATCAAAAGTGGACATATAACGGATAATACGGCTTACATAAGGCATTTAAGGCTCTGCCGTGCTCAAGTAGCTGTGTAAACGGTATTGAACTTCTTTTGCAGGGGGTGCATAGACTTGGATTTATTTCAAGCGCTTAGGGCTAGACAAGCTCTTATTCAAAGGGTTTAGAACCTCTGCATTTGGAAGACGGTTTGAGAGTATATCGTAACATGATTGTGTTTGGACTGCAAAGGGGTACCACCCAAGGCCCCGCATTTATCGAGCAGGTTTCGCTCTGACGCTGTAGGCGGGGATTTTCGGGCCCATGAGAAGGTTTTGGGGTATCGATTTGGGGTCTTCAGTTCAGGAAACTCCCTTCTTAAGCTATAGATAAGCCTGTAGAATACGACTTAAGGTACAAAGCTAAGCTCATTTAAACCGACACCTGCCAGCCGCTCTGCGGGGTTAGTCTCCAACCAGCGGCCAAGAAGTAGCGGGCGCACGAGCCATTGGCGGACAAAGCACAGCATAGCCATGAAAAGGTAGCCGCAGCCGCAGTTTGGGCAATCCGGGCAATTGCTCTTCCGAGTATCTTGTTTCCACCAACTCCAAAGCTTAGCCGCTGCTCTGAATGAGCCAGAAGTGTCAGCGGGCGGAAGCACCAGCATCTTTTCGTGCACGTCAAGCACTGTCCACGGTGAGCCCTGGCTGCCTGAGAAGCCTGGCGCAATGTAGGGGCTTTAGTAATTAGAATAGGGCTTTGAAGGTGCCTTATGCTAATTAAAGTATAATATACCCCCCAACCCTGTTCTAATTTTGTGAAGGCCCCTATATCAACGCCGGATGCTGAACTTCGAAGTCATGCCCTGCCCTTGAAGAGTACAGCCGGCAGATACCGCCACAGCCTGTCCGCACCCCATCAGCTGAGAGCAGGCCTTTGCATGCCTATTCGGGGCAGTATAATATATACAATGAGGGTTTTTTTTTTAAGAGTGTGTTGGGCCTTTCTCCGCAGGTCGAGGCGCACTCCCTGTTGGAGTTCACACTAAGAAATAAAGCTCAGCTCACATCCAAAACACTTCACCTCATCCTTCAACTCTGCCAGAGTCAAACATCATTCCGATGGGCCACGACTGCGACTACGACCCAAACGACCGACACGTCGCCGAACATGTTCATGGGGGAGCACACCTCGACGACGAACATCTTCATCACGATCTCCAGGGCCATCTCCACCTTGATCTTCTCCTCCAAGACCATGTGCACGAGATGAGCCAGAGCGACCAGATGAGCCGAAGCGACCAGAAAGCCCCGAGCTTTGCGAAACCAGTTCCATCAGAGGATTCGTAGCGAGAGGAACAGCCACAGGCCTTGGTCGAGCACGACGTTGACGACGACGTCCCACAGACAAAGTCACCTCCCTTGCAGTGGGCAAAGGCTCAGGAAGGTCGAGTTCTGGCCAATTGGGAATCTCTACCGATTGATCTGCCTGAAGAATGAAAAGACACCGATCTTCCTCCGACGGCCAAGCTCCCAGTGGACACTGTCGACCCGCCGCATCATAGAGGTGACGGACATGGATCCTCCAAGTTCTTCTACGGTAACCAGCAACAGTTCCCGGAGACGTAGAAGGAAAAGCCCGAGCCAACAGTTCAAGATCCGCAGGGAAACCAGGTTGTAGAAGAAGTGAAGGTGAGCGAACCCAGTGGGACGAACTTGATGAACTTGCCGCTAAGCCATGAGATGCCTGTCGGGAGACCTCGGCAGAGATCGCCCCAAACTGCATCGCCGAATTCATGGAAACTGCCGTGGTAGGCATAGGAATCCACAGCAGAGCCTCTTCCACAGCATCCAAAACCAACCGGCTGCGATGCTGAAGGTGCCGATGTTCTGCCAGAAGCAGACGAACGACCTGAACAGTGTCGCCGTTGTGCCCAGCAGCATAGCATTGTTGACGGCATCTCTGACCACATCCGAGGGCATGGTGGCCACATTGGATGACGTCGTTGTCGAAGTCGTGGTTGACAAGCAGCAGAACGTAGAGGTCGAACTCGTGATTGACAAACTGCAGGACGTAGAGGTCGCGATCGGCAAACAGCTCGATGTAGGGGGTGCACCCGGTAAACTACCGGAGGGCAAACTCCACAAGCTGGAGGAACTAGAAGAGACTGGGAAGGACCACAAAGAGCAGGCCAAGCAGGACAGCGAAGAGGCCAGCTCAACTTCCAACTCATCCCAAAGCCCTTCAAGCGACCAGCCGACTTGAACCAGCGTAAGCAGATTCGACTCGAACACCTCTTCTTTCACCACAGAGAAAGCGTCGACCCAAGACGTGGAAGTAGTCGAAGAGAAAGTGATGACCTCAGAAGTCGTCGTAGTTGAGGATGCAGTGTTTTCGTCATCCGGCTCTCGCCAGATTCCCATGAGTTCCACCGGAGCTGGCGGGAGATTCACAGGAAGAGGCGGTGGAGGACCGAATGGACCAGGCCCCACCTGGGGAGGAACCTGGACAAGCTCACCATCACTGTTGTACGCGAACTCGGAGTCCCATGGAGTTGCCACACCGCTCTCATCACTGTTGTCCTCTTGAACATCATCACTTGCATCACGACCATCAGAATCCCCAGTGCAACTCCTTGCCTCATGGCTATCAGCAGATCCACACGCTGTAGTATGCGAGCGTCTCGGCGAACGCGACACCGAGCGAGGAGCTGAGTTTCGGCGGCGCCTCATAGCTGGAACCACAATCACCGGCAGGTCATCCGAGGAAGCTGCTCCACCAGAGGCCGTGAAGAAGCCCATTTCGGCTGCACTTGCGATTCCACCTTCTACTTCATGAGGTCGAAGTGCTTCCTCGAGATCATCGCGACCCAGCGGTTGCATAAGCTGCGCCTCAACAGTTCCCTGGAATACCACCGAGAACTGCCGAGCCCACAATGAGGGTTTAGGGTTTAGGGTTTAGGAATGGTCTAAACAAAAAGAAGAAGGCATGGCGGGTAACGAACAACACCAGGAAGTCTATCGGAACAGGCACCCCTAACAGTTGAGCCTCGTACATGCCATTCAACCCTCAGCCCTGCAGCTCGCAAGCCCTAAAACATGAACCGACAAAGCTTAAGAATATTACCTTCAGCCTGTAACACCGCTCTGATCTGCGAACTACTTGCAAGGTTTGTATACCTTAAGGATTACCTTCATCCAGCATTCACTGGTACATCGGGGTCTCTCGGAACGAGTCGGACGAAAATGTTGCTTCGCTGTCAGAATTAGGGTCTAAACGTCAAACACCCCCGGAGTCAAACGGTCGTAAATAGTAGCCTCCAGCACCCTGTTTATCGAGACATACTCCTTGAACCATGCCAGCAGTCATTGTCAGCTTAGGGAAGAATTCCTGATTCTGAGACATTTGGCTCTCTGGCCTCTCAAATGGCAAAGCCAAGCCGTCAACGGGCCTGCACTCTCGCGCGATTGATGTTCAGATCTCACGGCCCAAGGCCAAACTTCTCAAAAAGAAAGCATCCAAACTCCTTCACCCGCTCCCATATCCCCAACATCCCTCAACCCCAAACAAACAACCCGCAACAGCAAAAAAGGCGGCCTCGTGCAGCCGCAAGGGCCGCGGCACCCACGACGCCAAAGGCGGCACGGGGCTGTAGGTGACTGTGGAGGCGCGCCTCACTTGGTGTTGAGAAGGGCCTGAAGTTCGTAAATATGCAGGCTTTCTGGAACTGTGGGCTTGTAGGTTACCGTCGCAAGAACAGGCGTGCCATGCCAAGCCGCCCCATGGGTCTACATGGCGGACCGTTAGAGACTGGTATGATCATACAATTCGACCATAATGTTGGCTGCTCTTGACTGAATGAACGCATATTGAAAGGCTTCGGGGAGCTTCTTGCAATAGTGAGAACGGCGAGAATGACGAGTACAATGATTAGAGCATCATACGCATAAATCATGACAGCAGCGACAAACAGTACTCATACACAGGCTCCCTACCTACAGCAGGAACTTGCATGGCCAATGGAGAACCCTCTTCTGGATCATTTTCTGAAACTCCACCTCGGGGCTTCCGGCTAAGGTAAATGTCCATTTTAAGCTCTTCATGGCTGCGCTGTGGTTTTTCATCTTACCAGACAAAACTCGCCAAGGAGAGACGCCTCTATCAGGACCCCAAGTTTTTGTTCCAAACCCCAGGCCCAAACAAGCGTTCCTGCTGGTATCCTCGACAACACTGCCAAGCCCTAGGCACCTGATGTTCCTGCCAGCCGGGTGCAGCACGGCGCACGCATGCCGTGCGGAATGCGGATGTAGGCCGCAGCGAAGGCAAAGCGAGAGCCATGGCTGATTAAAGGACAGTGAATGAAGTAGTTTGATTTAGGATGTTGGATTAATGCTTGGGGGTTGCGTCTGCCATTTAACTGGCAAGTTGTCCACTCTCATCATCTCCATCTTCATGATTATGGTCGATTTTCACGTACAGTGGTACTCAAGGTTTTGGAGTTTCGCTGTTCGAGTCCGCTGGCTCACCGGAAGACAGTCCCGGAAGTAACATGAAGGGGATTTTTGGTGGACTCAAGGGCGGCAAAAATGCAACTCGCTGTTGCGATGCTTGTGCGCGATTGCATCTTCATTTGCAGTCTTGAGCTCCGGCCGGTGATTGTTTGAGATGAAAGCTCGAACAAAAAAACATGGTATATCTCAGTCTCTATCGTCCATGACTAATCCTCAGAACTGGCAGCAAGATCAAAGACTTTCCTCAGAAATCGCCTCAGGTCTTCTTTCACGGTTTAGGGTTTAGGAGGAGCTACACCAAAAATCCCACACCCGGAGCAGGTCCCAGCTCCCAGCGGAGAGCCCAGTTGGCAGCAACACTGAAGTCATAAACATCTAGAACACTCCACAAAACCATTTTAAAAAAAGACTGTAGACCAGTGCTATATAGTCCTCTAAAGCCGCTCGTCCGCTGCACAAGCCACCCTCAAGCCGAAGACTCTCAAGCAAGAACAACAAAACACTACCTAGCCACATTTGGAGTTTAGGGTTATAGGGCTTATATACGGGTCATACAGCCGCTGTATGGCCGCACTTCAGGGGGAGCGCTGCCGAGTTGCAGAAACCAGAATATGCTGCAGCAAACTCATGCTACAAGAGAGAGCTCATGTCATGGGTTCCTGATTGTGATCCTGTTCGACGTCCCTATGTGGAAGGCCATGGCGCCTGAGCCCTTCTAACCCTAAACAACTGAACAGCAAGCCCGAAGCTTTCGAAGTTCAGGTTCCCATCTAAATCTAGCAGACATTCCGAAGCTTTCGAACTTCAGGTTCCCATCTAAATCCAGCAGACATTCTTCGCTTGACTACGTAAGTTCTAAACCCGCTGAACCTCAACACTCTGATGCCTAAATCCTCAACAACCCCACCGTATTGAAGCCCTACCTGAGGCCCAAAAAGCCTACCCTTCCAAGGACCTGTGAGGTATAACAAGGGATCCATCAAGGATGCCCAGTAACCTACGAATAAAAAGGGCTCCCTTTTTGGTACGGGGTAACTTTATAAGGAACCTAGGACTACAAAAAGGGAATAAGGGTACTACTCATCCGAGTTAAGTTCGGGTAAATCGGGGCCGGGTGCACCTGTTGTCCCAGAAATAGACCTCGGCGCTGTCGTTCTGAGCGGTGGGGATTTACAGAGGGCCTGATTGATGGTTTATATGGGAGTTTCCGAAAAAAGGGGTGCCCAATATAGTTAGGATCCTTATTATAAGGACCCCAAGAAAACTACCCTTTGCTGTTTTGGGGTCTGTTGGGTTAGCTCGCTGCAGGCTTGTCTGGCGAGGTGGGTGAAATAATACTTGGCACAGGGCCTTCGGGGAAAAGCCGAAAGGCTTTCCCCTAAGCAGGATGTGTGTCCCTAAGCCTACCCCAAAAATCCCTGAACCCTATGATACCCTTTAAAGGAACCCTTCAAGGAACCCTATTTGGGCACATGGGCCCTTAAGGGTTGTTAGCCCCTTGGTTTGGTTTGATGTTTCGGGTTTGGGGTTTAGGTTTCAGAGTTTAGAGTTTCAGACTTGTCCTTGGGCTCGGGGCTTAGCGCCTGGGGTTAACAAGCCCAGAGAAACCAACTGCTTGCAGCCTTAGAAGCCTCAAACTCCCCACATGGGAGTTTCCGAAAATAGGGACCCTATTAAAGTGCCCTAACCAGTGGGATCCTTATTATGAGGAGCCCAAAATAAGGTACCCCCAATTTTCGGAAACTCCCACATACCGTTCGAAACTAAGCAAGTTGAACAAACCTTAAGTCCAAGGATAAAAGGAGGGATACTTAATAAGGACCCCTAGGTATATACCCTTAATATAGCTATTATATACCCATTGTGTAGCCCATTATAGGGTAGGGGTATCCGTTAAGGTTCCCTCCTTTTCGAAGAAACCTTCAGCTCGGCGGCTTCATGCGCTGGACTAGCTTCTCCGAGAAGAGAATCGTGCCGTGGCCGTTGGCCTCTCTAGACTTTCCCGGGGGGTTCCTTAAAGGGTTCCCTTAAAGGGTTCCTTAAAGGGTTCCTTAAAGGGCTCCTTCAAAGGTTCTTAGGGTTTGGGGTTTAGGGGTTTAAATAGGGGTTTAGGGTTTAGGGTTCTTTAAAGGGATCTACTGCAGGGTTAGTCTTAAAGGGCTATAGGCGTTACTAAGAGGGCGACTGTGGGTACGGTAACCCCATAACCTGTTTTTGCTGTAGGGCCCTTATCACTGAACATTTGGGAGGGCCTACCAAAGATGTTGTGGTAGTTCAAGGTCAACTTTAGAGGATACCCAGCGAAACCTCAGACAGTACAAGACACAGGCCCTCGTCGCATGGTGCTTTATCGCTTCTCCTCACCTTTAATTGACCTCCTGCTGCAATTTTTATGGGCTGAGTACGTACGCAGAAAGGTTAACTTTTACCATTATGGCAAGTTTATAAAAGCCCCAAAAGGTTCATGGCTACCTACCCCTATACCCCTTCTGTCAATATTCTCTTGGGCGCTATATGAACAAAAAGTGAAAATAATTCCTAGGGGTGCATCATCATGAATATCTCGAACTCCAAGATGCAAACTCCCCAATCTTTAGGCACTTTAACCCCAAATCGCGGGGGCTGCATTAATTTCCCGATCCTCCTGGCTAACCCTAAACCCTAAATGAAAACAAATACCAGAACCCTCCGCCCCTAAGCCCTTCTACCCTAAACACCCGCACCGTGAAGCCCTAAACCCCCAAACTGGAAACTCCAAACCCCTAAACCCGAAATGCTAAACGCCCAAGCCCCCGAACCCCAAAGCACCTCGAAGTAGATGCCAAGATCGAAGGCGAGTGCTGCATGGTGGCAGTGCTGCGCAAGCAGGCGGGTGGGCTTGAGGGTTTAGGGTTTAACGGTTGAGGAGTTATGCAGAGTCTTGGATTTGGTTTAGATCCATGCGGTTTAGGATTTAGAGTGTTGGGTTTGGGGGCTTCGGGGTTACGATGATGGTTAGGGCTCAAGCAAAGGTACGGGTATGTGAAGCTCAGGGTAGTGTGTTAATTTGGCAGTGAAGGGCTGATCCTGGGATTTCAGGATGTCAGCTTGGCATTTCAGTCTCCGTGAGGATTCGGAGCTTCCAAAGGCTGAATACTGGTCCTCAAACCCTAAACCCTGTGCTCCCAAACCCTGCAGATAAAGGGGTTTAGGGTTTAGGGTTTAGGGCAGGAATCTAGTGCAGCTCCAGTTTGAGTCAAGGCGTTTTCCTAGTCGTGCACGAACGGATTTAGTCATAAGGGGTGTAGGGGGCCTTAATACAAAAAGAAGACTTAATAAGCCCTATTTAGGGAACTATAGTCCCCTACCTCTCTCCCCCTACCCCCTAAGGGCAACGAAACACTCAGAAGCCGTCCCTCAACCGCGAACCCTATTGCCCAGGTGGCAATACGAGTTTATTTCATGTTGTGCGCTGTTTTCTTATCACTGTTTGTTTGTACTGCTAGTGTGTGTGTGTGTGTGTGTGTGTGTGTGTGGGTGACTTTTTTGGTTGAGTGCGCCCACTGTACTTAGGTGTGTCTGGCTTTCATCCTTGCCGTGGCTGGTGTCTGCGTCCTGAGGAAACCCAGCATAAAGACCCGAAACTTCCGCCTCCAAACCCAGACCCACAAACACTAAACTTAACCCCAACCCAAACCATCGATTCTGACCCCGAAATGTAAAACCTTAAACCTCAACCCCAAAGCCTAAACCCTGCAACCCAAAGCCCAAGCCCCAAGCAACATGAAGACTCGAAGACACGAGCAGCGACATGCTTGACAAGCTTTTCAGGAGTCCAGCCTTGCTTTTATTGGGGGGCTCCGATGAATATGGGTGTTTAGGGTTTAGTTTAGGGTCTATAGGGTTTAGGGTTTAAGTTCGGCGGGGGCGGTGTTTTCGAAAGTAATCGCAAGACTGTGGTTTCGGTGCATCTTATGCCTAAGGCATCTTTACTTGCTGCTGTTCAGGAACTTCGAGCATGCGTCCATCCCTTTGTTGAGGCCCAGCCACTATGATCGCAAATCCCGGAGCCTAACCCCGTCGATTTCGGTCTGGGATTCAGGAAGAATTTGGCCGATACCTCGGCCGATTCTAGTATTCCTAAAGCAGGCTGCACAAAGAGATGTCACCCAAAGGGTTTAGGGCTTTCGGTGGTTACAAGGTTTCCGCAGGGATTTTTTCTGATCCGTGGCATTGAACGGCTGCAGCAGACCTTGCGCCTCAAGCACGCATAAGCTATCTGGCTGTGGAACGCTTTACAGTACGTTACAGAGACTCATTTTGTTGGAGAGATGTGAGGTTAAGAGGTTCTAGAAGTTAGACTCGAGAACTTAAGGCTTAGAGTTCTTTAGACAAACTGCGTCCGACGACATTCAATGATAACCCTAAACCCCAAACCCTAAACTGCAGGTTCCTGCGCAGCTAGCGGTGCCCCAAATCAGAAGGCCCTGCCTGGCAGCTCGCATTTGGCTATGGGCTATAGATGTCGAGGCATCGAGCTTCTGAAACAGTTTAGGGTTTAGGGTTTTGAGGCTTAGGGTTTAGGCCTAGGGATTTAAGGTTTAGGGTTTGGGGTCTTAGGGTTCAGGGTTTAGGGGCGGAAGTCTCAAGTGCTTCGAGAACCGAGCGATAAGAGGCTAGGGTTCAGGGCTGCAGTGTACTTCACCTTCACACAACAACATCATCAACAGCAGCAGCAATAATACTTTGGTAAAAAATCAAAATCCTATAGTCTTCCAAGAAAAGTCCCTCCGAACCTTACACATCGTGCTCTCGGCGCCGTCTCTAAGTCAGCAGCATGCAAGCAGG